AGGTGAGAGAAGATGATGACTAGAGTACAGAAAACTAGGAGCCGAAGGTTACAAACTGGGAGGACTTGGAAAGGCTACTGTGCTCCAACTCTTCCCTGTGTCCTCAGGGAAATGGGATATCCCCCTCTTATGACAAATGGAAGCATCTCCTTGAATGAGGTTCCCGTGACCTGGATCTGGGGAGAAAGGAGAGAGAAGTCTAGAGGGCAACCTCCCTGCTATTTCTCAGATGGAAAAGCATTGTTATTTTATGGTCAATGTCCTAAGCTGGGGTCATTAGCACCACAACTGTACTTTCCTCCAGTAAGCAAGCCACAGGATCCCCAAGGATGAGGAACATGTCTCAAGCCAAATTGGTCAAATGAAACTAAATTGTAGGTTACTTTGGAAACGCAGCTGGAAATACTATGGGGAGTTCTATACAGATGCAGGAAGTAAGGTCTCAGAAATCAAATTGAATGCTTTGAGACATAAACTCAGTAAAAGTCAGGAATTTACAACAGTTTTCTACTCACACTGTAGGTGCTGCAGCCTATTTTCTTATTATATTGCTTTTCTGAGGTGAAAAGCCAATGCATTTACTCTGAATTAAGTTTGTATTAAGTCAGTTAAGCTCTGTGTAGGCACTAGCAGAGTAGGGGAACTTTGGCATTGTTCGTTCATTCCTGTATTTATTGATCATCCCTGGGCCTCACTCTGATATAAAACAGGACCACAGTAAATCAGACAAATCCCACTGCCACCCAGAGCTTACATTTGAGAGACACAGTGATCAAAAGACTGCCTTAGCCTGAATCACAAAAGTTACAAAGCACATCACTGATGGAAGCAACTCGGGGTCCAGCCCCACCAATTCTCCCCCCTTTCTGTAGGAACTGGGCTGCTTTTCACTAGCATTTGATTGTAAGGTCAGGTTCTAGATTTGAGGCTGAGAGGGCCATGGGCTGTGAATTACTGCCAAGTCCTGTGTGAATGACATATTCTCTATATCCTTTAGAGGGGAGACTCCCATGGAATTGGAACAGCTCAAAGTGAGACAGTCCCATTTGACAGAAAAGGCATCACTCCCATCACAGGTAGGAAGACATGTTATCTGCAAGTCGATCCAGTCCTGACACAGCTTTTGTGTCATATACAGCAAGCTCTGAAGACGGCTAGTTGTCATAGGTCTTATTCTCTTTTTGAAGATGAAAGATGCGCTTGATCATGTGCTCTAAATTCCCAGAGGTTAGTTTTGAGAAAAATAAGATTTTAGTAGGCATTGATTGCATTTTAAGGGTTTCGAGTTCCTTTCGGGATTCAGTAACTTTTCACCAGTGCAGCCATCAAATGAGTTTTGCTCTTTAAAGCAAATTAATGTCAACCTAAGTCTGAATGAGTCAGACCCGTGACTCTCCCTGCACCAGGCTTCATTATGCTGCTGCCATGGAGCCTTGGAGAGTCAGTTTGAAGGCTTTGTGAATATGCTGTGAACAAGCCTGCTGGAGAAATGGTTTTCTTAATGACTTAATGACATTTTCTCCAGACTGGGTTGGAATAAGTTGTTTTTGCACATAATGAATAAAAGAAAAAGATCAAGACATGGGAAAATTACAGAACTTGGGCAATAATGTCTTTCCTCCCCCTAATTACTATATTGAACTTACATTAAAGACCTGACAAGCTATCAATCCTGATCCACACTGCAATTCCCCGTGTTCCTTCCTAGCAACCAGATTCTTCAGTAAAATATCCCCCCTCAGTCAGAAGGTTGGGTGTCCAACTTGTCTTATCAAATGAGCTCATAAGCAATACCTACCACCCCTGTGCTCTGGAAAAAATCCACTGAGAAGTGAAGTAGTGAATTTTTCAGATTAAAATCATTGTCTGACTTAAAACCTATGGAAACAATATAATAATGTTGAATGCCATCCACAGCTGCATTGATTAAAGACTGTCCATGGCATTTAGTAGCGAAGGCATATCCAATACTAAGTCACACTAAGTTACAAGAAGTCAAGGTGATTAGACTTCCACAACTAGAATGTAAATTCATGTATTGATAAGTTATATCAAACAGATCTATGAGTACCTACTGATTTTTCAACAAGCTCATTTTCTATTTCAATGACAGATACTAAATATTTAACAGAATGCCCTGCCTCATTTGCAGCTTCCATGTGCTAAGCTCAAAGGAAAGATGGCAGGGACAGCCTGTGTCACAGTTTCCTTTCAGTCTAATGTCAAAGTTTTGGAAATGAGATACCTTAAATTAAACAAAAGTTGTAACTAACTGCCAACTGTAGTGAAATATACCGTGTGTGTGTGTGTGTGTGTGTGTGTGTGTGTGTGTGTGTGTGTGTGTGTGTGTGTGAGAGAGAGAGAGAGAGAGAGAGAGAGAGAGAGTATTTGCATGTATGCAATATATACAGGTGAGTTCTGTAGGCTCACAAACAGCCATGTGATTTCTCATCCATCCTGTTGTTGAGTATGTGAGAAAGTAGGCATGATTTAGGAAGAGGAAGGAGGGTGGGAGGAAGGTAAAGGGGAGAGAGGGGAAACAGAGATATAGGTAGAGAGATGGGGCGATGGAGGAGACTGAATTGAAAAACAGTGGTTCCTGTTTGAGGTAAGCAGCTGAAGACCTAACTTTCTATGAACCAGTCATTCCCATTTTCTATGCCCCCATCACCCAAGGCTCTTTTCTACAGTCTGGGGAGTTAGTCAGGTTAATCAATACCAGCCCATATCATTTAGGCTTTCTAATTTCTGCTGACACCTCTTTCCTTCTGTCATTTCCTCTGACCCATTTTTCTTGCACATTGTCTTCTTTGATGCTTTAATGCCAAGTAGAAAGGTTTGGAGATGAGCTGAGGCAAGCCCATGGGGTTAGTTTATCATACGTAAGCAAAGAGCTCTAGCACAGCATATGGGGATACTCCTATTTCACCCAAACTCATCTGAGCTGAGACAGCTAACATCCAACTGGAGTGCAGATGTCAAAAACTAGAATGGTGTCATTCTGCCTGTTTCAGCTACCTTTTTATCTAGGACCAGGTTATGAACAAATAACAATGATGATGATGATTGGGAAGGATACAAATAAATTATGCTGGTATAAGACTGGAATTCAAAATTGACTTTACATCTACTGTTCAGGGATGGAAATTGACAGGAACATGTGTCTCCTAAGATACAGTACATTCTTATAGATAAGCATAAGTGGCAGTCTCTTGATCTCTAGACTGCAGCTCCCATGATATAACCCAAAAGGTATAAGTTAGAGTTGTGACATTAAATTCCTCACCTTGAGTACAGCTGGCAAGGGGAGATGTCTGCTTCCTGGACAGCAGTCTGGTGTGATCTCAGGGGTCACTCCTGGAAGCCAGGCTGAGAGCCCACTTTTCCTGCCCTCCCAACAATTTTGTGAATGTTTAACACTGCCTATAAAACTCTCCTGTGCTTAAAATAACCATGGGGTTTTCTACTGCCTGTAACTTAATTTTGGAGCAGATAGAGAGTGTGACAGGGACAGAATAAAGATTATCAGGCAAACATCAGGAGTTTGTACAAGTCTCAGAAATTCATGGAACTTTCACATACTGAGACACAAGATAGATCACATACTGAAGCATTAAAGAAAGTATCAAACAACATAGGGAAATTGAAATAACTCATAGCACTGTCTCTGACCACATTCGGATACATCTAGATAGCAATAACAAGAGAATCACAGAAAATACACAGTCATAGAAATTAAAAGCATGCTATTGAATGATGAATGAGTCACTGAAGACATCAAAAGAAAATTAAAAATTTCTAAAATTGAATGGAAATGAAAATACAAAAAAGTCTATGGCTACAATAATGGCAGTCCTAAGTTTATACATCTAAGTACTTGCATGAACACCCCCCCCACAAAAAAAACAGAGAAAATTCAAATCCACAATTTAATGGTATACCTTATAAAACCCTGAAAAAATGAGACAAACCAAAACCCCCAAACAATCGATGGAGATAAAATAATTAAGATCACAGAAAAAAAATCAATAAAATAGAAACAAACAGCTTCCAAAAGAAAACAATATAAAGAGCTAATGAAATGAAGAACTAGTTTTTTTAAAAGAAAAATTAGGCTGAAAAACCCTTGAGTAAATTAAAGAGAAAATAAGTAAGTAACAATAAAATTGGAGATTAAAGTGGAGACATTACAAACAGTTGCCAATAGAAATCATAAAACCATAAGGATATATATTAAAAACCTACATTCCACTAAATTAAAAACATTAAAAGAAATATATAAATTTCTAGATGAATGTGACCTATTAAAATTAAACCAAGATGGAATAAATAATTTAAACAAATCCATAACCAGCAAAAAGATTGAAGCAGCAATAAAAAGTCTCTCAGCTAAAACAGCCCAGGACCTGATGGGTTCACTTCAGAACTCTACCAGAGTTTCAAAGAAGAGCTAATGCCCATGTTAATCAAACTATCTCATACAAGAGAAGAAGAAGAAGAAGAAGGAATTCTTCCAGGCTTATCTTACAAAGTCAATACTACCTTAATTCTAAAGCCAAACAAGAAACAACAACAAAAAAGAAAATTTTAGATTGGTCTTCCAGTTACACACAGATGCAAAAATTCACAATGAAATACATGGAAGTGGAACTCAAGACCACATCAAATACTCACTGAACTCAAGCTGATTTTATTAAAGAGGTGTCTGGATGATTTAGCATATGCAAATTAGTAAGTGTAAGTCATCACGGAAATGGACTCAAAGATAAAAATCACATGATGGTCTCAATAGATAATAAACAAAACAGGCCATTAAAAAAATCCATCATCAATTCATAATAAAGGTTATGGAAAAGTAAGGGATGGAGGGAACATCCTCAACATAATAAAGGCCATGTGTGACAAACCTATAGTCAACACCATGTTAATGGAGAAAGATTCAGAATAGTCCCTCAGAGGTCAACAAGACAAGCATATCCACTCTCTCCAATCCTACTCACCACATGGTAGAATGATGGGGAATGTACTTCTGCGTATGTTCATCTTATTGATTGTTGAATAAAGTACTGTTTGGCCAATGAGGCAACAACTTAGGTGGGACTAGGAGTCAAGGAGGATTCTGGGAAATGTAGTAAAGAAGTGATGATCCAGGCAGGAAATGACATAGCAGGGAGACTCATACATAAACAAGGGAAGAAGGAAGTGGGCCCCTTCTCTCTTCCTCCAGAGTCACCATGTGATCCTGGGATGAGGATGCCAATGGAAGGCATCCAATAAGATAAGTCTTATAAAATATATAGATTTATGATAATTAAGACTGAGCTAACAGATGAGAAATCCTAGTCATTGGCCAAGCAGCATTTATACCTAATATAAGTCTCTGTATATTATTTGGGACCCTAACTTGGCGAGCAGAACTCGGGTGGCTGGCAGAAAGCGCCCACGTGGCGGTAGGGCTTGGGTGGCTTTTGGTGAAAAGACTCATCATAACAGTAGAAGCCTTAGCTAGAATGATAAGCAGAGAAGGGAATAAAAGGGAGACAAATAGGAAGGGGAGAAGTGGAAGGACCTTGTTTGTAGGTGACATGGTTTTATATATAAGATGCCCTCAACACTTCACAACAAATGATAAAGAATCTCTTAGAGCTGACTAACACTTTCTGCAAAATGGCAGGATGCAAAATTAACTTATAAAAGTCAATAGTCATCCTGGGGCCAGAGAGGTGTCTTAGTGGTTAAGAGCACTTGCTACTCTTGCAGACCGTGAAACACCTACATGATGTAAAACCATCTATAACTCTAGTTCTGACCTCTGTGAACACTTGGCATACATGTAGTGCACATACATGCATGCAAGCAAAATATTTCTCATAAAATAAGAGAAATACAATGTAAAAGAATTTTTTCTTTTTTCCCCATTTTTATTTAAATTAGAAACAGGATTGTTTTTACATATCAATCCCAGTTCCTGCTCCTTCCCCTCCTCCCCTGTCCCCCACTAATACCCTACCTATCCCATACCATTTCTGCTCCCCAGGGAGGGTGAGGTCTTCCATGGTGGGGTATTCAGAGTCTGTCAAATACTTTGCAATAGGACCTAAGCCCTCCCCTGTGTGTCTAGGATGAGGGAGTATCCCTCTTTGTGAAATGGGCTCCCAAAGTCCATTCCTATGCTATGGATAAGTACTGATCTAGAAGAGGCCCCATAGATTTCCCAGGCCTCCTCACTGACACCCACATTCATGGGGTCTGGATCAGTTCCATGCTGGTTTTCCAGTGATCAGTCTGGGGACCAAGAGCTCCCCCTTATTCAGGCCAGCTGTTTCTGTGGGTTTCACCAGCCTGGTCTTGACCCCTTTGCTCATCATTTCTCCTTCTCTGCAACTGGATTCCAATTCAGTTCAGTTTTTAGCTGTGGGTATCTGCTTCTACTTCCATCAGCGGCTGGATGAAGGCTCTAGGATGACATATAAGTTAGTCTTCAATCTCATTATTAGGGGAGGGCATTTAAGGTAGCCTCTCCACTGTTGCTTAGATGGTTAGTTGGTGTCATCCTTGTAGATCTCTGGACATTTCCCTAGTGCCTGATTTCTCTTTAAACCTATAATGGCCCCCTGGAGAGGGAGCTAGGAGAATGAGAAGGGGAGAAGAGGAGGGGTGAGGAGGACATAAGGTAGCAAGAAGGTTGTGTAGGGGGAAGAATAGAGGAGACCAAAATAAGAGGTACCATAACAGAAAGAAATTTACATTATTGAGAAACGTTTTAAAAATCAGTAGCCTTCATATATACCAATGACAAATACACTAAACAAGAAATTATGAAAACAATCCCATTCAGAATGGTCACAAAAATAGATAGATAGATAGATAGATAGATAGATAGATAGATAGATATCTGGAAGCCTAATCAAAGACATGGAAGACCTTTACAATGAAAACTATAAGACACTGAAGGAAGAAATTGAGGAAGACTCTAAGAGACTGACAAATATCCCATGCTCACAGACCAGAAGATTTACTATGGTAAAATTGGTTATACTACCAAGCCCATCTACAGATTCAATGCAATAGCAATCAAAATTCTAGTGCTATTCCTCACAGTCAGAAAAACAATGCAAAAATTTATGTGACAGGAAAATGACCAAGGACAGCCTAAACAATCCTAATTAAAAAAAAAATACTGTATTATATGGTGACAGAGAAACAGATCCATAGATCAATAGTGTAGAATCCACACAACTCAGCTACCCAATTTTTGGCAAAAGATTTCAAAACTACATACTGGAGAAAAAACATCATCTTCAAAAATGATACTGGGAAAATCAGATATCAACGTGTAGAAAAATGAAGCTAGATTACTTTGCCTTACTTTGAACAAATTCAACTCCAAATGGAGGAAGGATCTCAAGAAAGTGCTGATCCTTTGAAACCGCCAGAAGAAGAGATAGAAAATATGTTGAAACTCATAGGAACAGACAAAGACTTCCTGTTTTCAGATTGGCTACCTGATGCGGGAAGTGCTTCTGTGTATTTGTCTTACTAGATGATAAATAAAATAGTTTGGCCAATGAGGCAGCAAGTTAGGCAGGACTAGGAGTCAAAGAGGATTCTGGGAAATGTAGTAGAGAAGTGGTGTTCCAGGAAGGAAGTGATATAGCAAGGAGACTCATATTTAAGTAAGGAATAACAGGAAGTGTCCCTTTTCCCCTTCGCATCCTCCAGCAGCAGGATGTGAGCCACCCGCAAGACAGGGAGCCAGTGAAAGGCATCCTCTATAAGATAAGTATTATAAAATATATAGATTTATGATAATTAAGACTGAGCTAACAGATGAGAATTCTAGTCATTGACCAAGCAGCATTTGTCCCTAATATGTCTCTGTATTATTTTGTCCATCCACCCAATGGTCAGAACTCGGGCTGTTGGTGGATACTGCCCACGTGGCGACAGGACTTGGGTGGCTTATGGCAGAAAGATTTATCGTAACAGCTACCTGTATGAGGCATACACACGACTGACTCAGTAAACATTCAGTTATACTTGAGTGTGGGGCTCTACACCACTCATGGAGACTAATGGCAATCAAGGCTGCTGGATGAGAGGAGTCATTGTCTTCAATGATACATCCCCTGTAGTAAGTGAACTCTGCCCTGGTGGACAGCCCACACCCAAGCCCATGTGAATCTCTAGTTAAATTCAGTATGTCACAAAGCAAAAACAAAAAAAGATATGAATACACAGTGGAAACTTGGTATGAAGGGGCACTGCTGGGAAGAAGAGTAAAGATGGGGATAAGTGGGAGTAAGATAAGGAGGGGTGAGTGGCAGGAGGTAGGAGGGTGGGTGCAAATGGAAGAAGGATAAGGAAGGGAGAATAATGAGTGTGACTAAAACGTGTTTTTTACATTTATGAAACTTTCAAACAACAAGTTAACTTAAAAATATTTTAAAACAAAACAACTAAGTATCAAGGTTTTCTCCAAGAAGGCAAAATAGGTTGTGTCGTGTATCTGCTTTAAATAAAAGATTTAGTTGCAATGTTGTACAGTGTTGCTGGTTGTACTAGCAATGATAATATTAGTGACTTTAATCAACCATGCTCATTCTATGTTGTATCTTTTTGTTTGTTGTTTATTTGCATGAGGCACTGTATGAAATAGTTTATGTGGGGACCCCAATTAACTTCACAGGCATCTAAGATACACACCACCAGTCTGTGACAAAATGAGAATTAAAGTGCTTGAGTATGTTTCAAGGTCAAAGGACTGATGGGTGGTTTGGAGATTTGGAATCCTGTCTGCTCCCAAAGCTCACCTCTGAATTGCTTTATTATACTATCTCTCAAGGCTTATGAAATCCCACAAATGAAGGAAATCTGATTTGATAATATGTTTTTCTTTATTTATCATCTTATGCTATCTTCCAGGCCCCTCCTGAAAATCCTTCATTGCAACTAAATCTGTGGATAGACTTGATTTACCAATCCTAACAGAATGCTCTGGAGACACCAATAGTATTGAACCATTAAAATATAAAATTCCCCAGATTTTGTTTACAATTTGATAGTTTGTCCCCATCATTTGCAAAGTGACACAGTATGTAGAGAGTTTTAATTTTGAATTTATGCTAGAAAATGTCAGCCTTGAAGATGCAAGTTCATTAAATTTTCTGAAAGCCTGTGTATATGTATATATTCATATGTGTGCGCATATGCTTGTATGTGTGCCTGTGTGTGTGCCTGAGTATGTATACATGAATGTGCCTCTGTGTGTGTGTGTGCATTTGCCTATTGTGTATGCCTGTGTGTATGTGTATGTGCCTGTATGAGTTTGTGTGTGGAAGTGTGTGTGTGTGTGCATGTGCCTGCATGTATGTGTTTGCCTGTGTGTGTGTGTGTGTGTGTGTGTGTGTGTGTGTGTGTATGTCTATTTCCTTTAAGCAGAACATTTTGGGGTTAAAATGTGTTCTGAAAAACTTTAATCTACAAGGAAGACTTTATAAAACTTCCTTGGCATCTTTCTCTTACAGTTAACCAAATTGTATGCAGGTTTTGAAAATGAATGAGGACATAACAAAGCAATCTGGGTGGACAAAATGCATGAGTTGCATCCTATTTCTGGAACATTTTTTACAATTTTATAGCTGACAGCTTTGCTTAGAGAAACAGTTGAAGAGGAAAGTGAAATTACTCAAAGGTTTATAGTGAAAGAAAAAAGGATGTTAATAAAAAAGGATGTTAATAAAAAAGGATGTTATAAAACTAAGGCAAGGAAAATGAAGTTAACCTTCAGGATAAGAGTATAAAGCTGAGACTATGTTTTCCAAGAAAACAATCCTTACTATAAAAGTCTTTGAAAGAACAACCCAACCTAGAAGACTATTAGGAAAGGGGATCGACCCCAGAATTAGAAGCCTGCACCCCTCTTTCCGTGTCTCTATGAAAATGCTTCTGTTATTGTGGGTACATTTTCATCAGATTAGAAGCATACATACTGGAATCAAAGATTAAGCACAGAGGGATGGTAAATGCTGCATCAATTTAGAAAAGGGAGGCAGGGGACTCTG